TTTATCTATTTATCTATTTATCTATTTATCTATTTATCTATTTATCTATTTATCTATTTATCTATTTATCTATTTATCTATCTATCTATCTATCTATCTTACACCAAGCCTTCTCACTGGTCCATCTAACTGAGGGCCTAGATTCACACAAAATGCTAGAGAAGCTATTCAGATTAGGTGTGTTGTAGAAAACACAGTTTCAAAGCATAGCGTAAGGACTAGGATGTCACAGTAAGCCATGATATTGTTCATTTGTTTGGGCATAACATTTGTTTTTTGTTCACCCTAACCTCAGTTTTGATCAACGGAGGCCCTCACGTTATCTTTTTTAGTAAGATAGAGAAGAAGATGTGGACTAGTTTACAGCCTTAGTATTTGTATCACATGCGACGTTCTCTACTAATGGGAAAGACACAATACCAGCCAGTTTAGGCACAGTTTGGCTGGCCAAGTGTCATCAACCCCAAGACGCTCATGCTGTTCCATGCAAACTTGATCTCTAATGCAAGAAAATGGCCTTCTGAACTGGGGGTTTCATAGACTAACTTCTCATCTAGAGATGAACCTTGCAAGACCATTTACTGTTTCCTGCATCCCACCAATTAGGAAGTACAGGCAGCATATTTACACACACTCATGATTTTCTCATGCTGTCAAGTTAAAAAAACGAGAGTTTGGAAATAACTTTTGGAAATGCCCAAAGCATTTGAGGTTACAGGGGTTTCAGATTGAGTGCACCTCTGCTGTACCAAGACTTTAATTCATTTATCCCAATACTTACCAGCAGTGGCCCTGAGCTGACATTTCTCCCAGCTCTGTTCTCTGACTTATTTTTTTAAAGCAGGTGAACTAGAAATTCAATTAACTGACTCTCGAAATTTAAGTAGACCAATGCATGATGTACCAAGTGTACTGTTTTCTTGGTGAAGGAAGGACCTCACCTCTTGCTTTGTTCCTAGGTATATCTTCAAAAGGGTGGTCCATGCACGTCCCATCAGAGGTCATCGGTGAGGTTGGCAAGTCTGTGGCCCTGCCCTGCACTTTCACTCATCCCCACAACATGTACGACAAGGCCTTGACCGCCATTTGGCGTGTGAAAGAGCCTTTCAACGGATCGGTGGTTTTCAAGTGCGTCACCCACAGCTCAAGTGACCTCTGCAGAACTACCGTTGGCTCGAAGAACAGATACCGACTCTTGGGAAATCCGAGGCAGAACAACCTCTCACTCCAAATCGACAATCTGAGCTGGAACGATAGCAACCGATATTTCTGCCGGGTTGAATTCTCAGGGGATTTCCATGACAAATACGAGAGCCGGGTTGGGATCCATCTCCGCCTCATAGGTGAGAAGATGTGAAACTCATTGAGGAGGGTATCTGCAAACAGAACTAAGAACAGAGGCCAGGAAAAGGAGACACCCAAGCCCACCCCATTCTCAAGACTCCAGCGATCCTCCAGTGCCTTCATGCAATTGCTGCCTATTCCTGCTCCCATAACTTGGCCTCATTCTGGAATTAAACAACTGGACTGTAATCTTATCAAAAGGGCTAAGCTGCAGCATGCTAAGTGAAAGGGAGAAAGGTCAACCCAGATTAAAACAAGCCAAGCTTATTTTGTTGTGCCTTGATTAAAGATGTTGTGTGAATGCAGCTAGCATGTATGAGCAGCAAAGAGGCTGGAAAGGGTGTCTTGAAGTCCACTTGCTTCTCCTGTTCCTGGGCAATGAGGTGAATTGCCCCTCCAGAGCAATTGGCCCAGAGCCCAGTTTTCAGGTTACCTTTTGAAGCCATCTTGACCAAGTTTACAGAAGCTGCTAAACTATAAAGTGGCTGCTCTGTTTGTGGCTTGGTGTATTGCACGAACCCAGCCATTTCTAGCATAGTCAATAAACTACAGCAAAGCAAGCTTATTTCATTCCATTCTGGTTTCCTCAACAAATCATATTTAAAACAACCTGTGGCTTGGTGCAATGTCTGAATTAGGAGCAGGTAATGTGCAGAGACTACAAATTTAGCCTACATTCAAACTTTGCTACATAATTTTAAAAGCTATAAAGCAGTGTTTTTCAAACTTGGCAACTTTAAGACGTGTGGACCTCAACTCCCAGAATTCCCCCTCCCAGAATTCTGGGAGTTGAAGTCCACACGTCTTAAAGTTGCCAAGTTTGGAAAAAACCGCTATGAAGGAAGAGGAGGACCGTATTACAAATGATATACCCTGAGTAATAATTTGTTCCTATTTTTGAATTTTCTGCAGCTGCCCCGAGGATTATAAATATCTCTGTCCAGGCTGGCCAGAACCACGACTTCCATGCCACGTGCACGGCGGAAGGTGAACCCCTGCCCTCCCTGACGTGGGCTGGTCCCCTGTCTGGAAATGCCACCTCAGTTTCCAGCACAACTCACCAGATAACCAAGGAGCTTCCACACCTGACTCACGATGGAAAATACACCTGTATGGCTATGAACAGCCACGGCAGAGCTGAAGGGACGGTCTACTTCTACAGGTTCAAAGCTGGCAATGGCTCCTGGATCATGATTCTCTTGTTTGTCGCCTTGGGGATTAAGTTGCTGGTCCTGGTGGTGATCTTGGGGATTGGGGCTGTTTGCAAGGGAGGTACGTATCATTCATTTAAAGGCTGGTGATAGCTGGGCCTCCAAGCTACATCACAATGTGGGTTGCTTGATCCTGGCTTGATCACAATGTGGGTTGCTTGATCCTGGCTTAGTGTGTTGCATAAA